TCCTCCTCCTCCTCCTCTTCCTCCTCCTCCTCTTCCTCCTCCTCCTCGTCCTCCTCCTCCTCCTCATCGTCCTCATCATCATCGCACATCCCGAAGCACCAGAGGCAATCCAAGGGTTCAAGACCATACGCTACATATAGTAGGTCTACATCTGAAAAACAGAAGGGAACAACCACAACACGTTATGGTTGGTCTTCCTTTGACGTTCTGAAGGCATTACGCTTTGCCTCCTCGGCATTACCCGAGGTAGCTGCAACCTTCTGCAGACAGGCCAAAAACAGCCGCAATCTGATCGACTTCCCACCACTCCACCCGCACCGCCACATTAGGAACGGAGAAATCGGACGTGCGCAAACGTCCACACAAGCTAGCAGCTTTGGGGACTAACAGGGCCGCAACCGCCTGCGGGGTGGGGGCCTTCCAGAGCCCCACAATCCAGCCACTGTGCTGGCGAAAGCCACAGGGGAGCTGCAACTTGCGGGCACGATTGCGCTGTCGACGCAGCGTCTCGGTAGGCGGCGACATGCTGCACGGTTTGGCGAGGCTGAGGACCGCCTCCCAAGCATATCCCCCGCAAGCAGCACAGACAAGGACCGAGGGGCACTTAGGCGGAGCGGGCGGGAGTCTAGAGGGAAGGAACACCTCGGCCTGTCTCAGCGTGTGCCATTGCAGGGCAGCGATAGTGTTAAGCTCTTTTGAGACCTCAGGAACCAGCTCTCGAATAGGGCGCTTAGGCCTTCGTTGGCAGCTCCTTGAGGGGAGCTTCGATTGCCCACCCACCTTCACCCCCGAGGACCCACGAGGAAAGAGAGCGAGGGCGTCGAAATCTTCACGCCCGGCCATCAAAACCTCTGAAGTGCTACCCCAACGCGCGAACTCCTTGACAATAGCATCGAGATTGTGCTTGCATTCGGTGGTGTCTGGCTGCATATATGTCAGCGCGCGGTTGCCAATCCGTTCATGATCAGGAATCCTGCCTTCATCAACTGCTGGCCTAGGCAAATGTGATGTTATTTTCACAGCGCTGATTGACGGGAAGTTCCAATGGATTTCTTTCCAGAGGTGGCACCTGGAGTACCTGACCGAAGTGGAAAAGTGCTTATCATTGACAGCATCAATCGTGCCTTGGCAGTCTAAATGAAAGACAACATCGCCCCGCACGAGGCCTCTAGCACCCTGGAGGATAGCAACATCCCCCCCATCTCGCGCCACCTGGAAGGGCCCTAGGTCCCAAGACACCGCCCCGCAAACAGCTCCTAAAAGGGAGCCGTCGTCAGCAAGCTGGGTCAGGGACCAGCTGGCTCTCCTGGAAACGGGGCAGGATGGGTGGACGCCAGAGCCGTCAGTGAAAACTTCTCCAGCGAGGTCTCCTACTTCGGGCTGCATAATCCAGATTATATTGCATTCATGGTTCCACAATGGCCGATGCACAACCTCTATCGGCATGGGGCAACTACCACAAGCCGCCTTATCGAAATCCTGTCCCGTCAGCTGAAGCACCGCCGCACATCGGAGCAGTCGTGGGCTACAGTGCTTATCGCGGTCGGCGGCCCAATGTGGACAGATGAAACGCCTATGCCACAGGGCTCCTGGTATATCTTTACAAACCTGGCAAAGATTTGTCTCGGATTGTTGGTGACGCTCTTGTTTTGCCTGGCACCAGTACTGTTGAGAAATAGGCGAGCGAAGACTAGACTGGTGCCTGCCTGTCCAGGTGTCCGACACGCAGCCCTTCAGGAGCCCAGCCAGGGGGCGCCAGAAAATCGGGCGAGTCCAGCCAGGCGACTCTCCCAAGTTACTGAGAGCGGCCACATCCGAAACACCACGAGCAGCTCTATGGGCCAGCCACACAACCTGTTCAGGGGCCAGCTGGGTGAGACACATTTCTTCCACTGTGCCGATAATGATGCGATCGGCAGCAGGCGCCGACCAGCTCAGCTGTTGGACACCATCGCCCTTATGCGAAGGGCGCGCGAGACCGCCGCCTCCTGTCGAGGTAGTCCTGGTCGAGATGACCTCTTGATACCTGTGAATTCCTGGGGATCGACTCTTGAGCTCTATTTGATTTCCTCGGGCGGCCCCGCGGTCTGAGAAAGGCCCGGGGAACCCGACAACGGTGAAAGCTGCCAGGGGTCCTTCCCTCCAGGTCCCCTGCTCTGCACGGCGAAGCCCAACACGTCCAGCGGATGTCAGTGAAACATGTGCCTCCGATCGTCAGGCTTCGCCCGAGGTGCCCCGCAGGCCGCTGCCCGTGCCCAGGAGTCTCGACGAGGTGAGGTCCCGAAGCGACCCCGCATCCCCGCTCACGAACGCAGCATCACTGGCAACTTGTCGGTTCTAAGACCCCGGAGCGGACACCGAACCCGTACGCAAACGTTGAAGTGTCCCCTGTGTGTCCGCCGTCTTCCGCCGGGGTCCGAGGGCTGACGCGTCGACCATCTTACGTCCGCCGGCCGTCCACGGAAGGCAAGCTGCGCCGACGGCGGGGCCTTTTTTCTGGAGCGCCCCGGTTGGGCCGAGCTGCAATCCGACGCGTCGTCCTCGTCCTCGTCCTCGTCCTCCTCCTCCTGCTCCTCTTCCTCCTCCTCCTCCTCCTCCCCATCCTCCTGATCATCATCATCACTATCATGATCCTCACCCTCCCCATCTCTTCATCCTCATCCTCATCCTCATCACCATCATCAGCAGCAGAAGAAGAAGCAGAAGTAGCAGCAGCAGCGGCGGTAGCAGCAACATCATCATCACCATAAGCATCGTCATCAGCAGCAGCAGCGTCAGTAGCAGCAACAACAGCATCAGCTTCATCGTCATCAGCATCATCAGCAGCAGAAACAGTTGCAGCAGCGGCAGTAGCAGCACCATCATCCTCACAAGCATCATCATCGTCACCAGCAGCTGCAGCGTTAGTAGCAACAGCATCCTCATCCTCATCCTCATCCTCATCCTCATCCTCATCATCATCATCATCAGCATCATCAGCATCATCATCATCCTCATCCTCATCCTCATCCTCCTCCTCCTCCTCATCATCATCATCACCATCACCATCGTAATCGCCACCACCATCAGCAGCAGCAACAGCATCAGCATTGTCATCGTCATCGTCATCGTCGGCATCAGCATGATCATCACCATCATCATCACCACCGTCATCATCATTTTCATCATCATCCTCATCATCAACATCATCATCATAATCACCATCACCATCATCATGATCATCAGCAGCAGCATCAGCGCCATCGTTATCATCATCACCATCATCACCACCAGCATCATCACGAACACCATCAACGCCATTATCATGCAATCATTCGAACTATTACCATCGCCACCACCACCATCACCATCACCATCACCATCATCATCATCAGCATCATCATCATCAATAGCACCATCATCATCATCATCATCATCATCATCATCATCGCCAGCACCATCAATATCATCATCACCGTTATCATCAATATCATCGTCATCATCGTTATGATCCGCGTCGCCACCGCCACCTTCACCAACATCACCAATATGGCCGTAGTCAAGGTCACCGTCATTTCATCAACGTAATGAGCATCGTCATCCTCGCCACCGTCACTAGCAGCATCATCAGCAACAGCGGCAACACCACCACCAACATATACATCACCATGTACATAAGCAAAAGCATCATCAGCAGCATCCTCACCGTCGTCCTCATCCTGCGCAACCTTATTGCCATGATCGCCTCTTCGTCCCGCTGGAAGTTTCTCCGCTGAAGTACGTCCTACGACACACCTCATCATCGACGTCTTCCTGTTTTGCCTCTTGCGCCGCATCCACCACATCGTTCTCATCGGCCCCTCTCCTCGATACTGGATGCTGCGGGTCGGCTTGCCCCAGGACTGAGACCCCCGCAGCCCTGCCACGGACCAAACGACGGGTTGAGGGTAGACGACAGATCTTACATAGGGTATTGGACCAGTGAGCGGCATTACCTGCACGTGCAACCCACTCCTATGTCTGCGCTTCCTCATGTGTCCCTCCTTCCCCTTGTCCTTATCCAATGTATCCGACGTCTCCTCACCCTCCGCCGTCGGATCCTCATCCTTTCCTTCTCTTCCTGAGACTTCTCCTGATCCTCATCCTCGTTGCCTCTTTGTCCTCCTTCTCCTTTTCCTGATCCTCCTCATTAGGTTCCTTCTTGCTTCCGCCGGTTCCTACTTATCGTGCCGCCGCCGCAGAGGATGTGGTTTCTTCCCCCTGCCTCCTCATCCGCCCCCTTCCGACCTACTCTCAACCTTAACGACCATTGCAGTGGTTGCCTTACGCAAACCGTTGCGCTCGTCCGTGCAGGTTTCAGCACACTGGTGCATTGAATGTGTCTGGGTGCGCATATAATTACATACATATAACTGTATACATAGACATACAGAGTAATGAATGCTTACGCGCACAAGTATACGCACACACATACATACAACGACGATAGCTAACGGAAGCCTGAAAACACTACCGAAACAATCGTCCACTCCTCCTCCCCCTTCCCTTTACTCAACCTGTTTCTTCCCGAAGAGCGAAGACAGACGACTCTGATGTCTGGCCTACCTCACCCACCTCACAGAGGAACCGATGGATCGCAGATACTTGGCTGGTCATCCTTGTCATGAGGCCCTCGCGCCATGAGCTGTGCCAAAACGCAAAACCGAGGGTCTCCAACTGCTTTGAAAAATACCCGCTTCCTCTCCCTTCTGTTTCGGAGGCGAACTGACCCGGATCAATGCAAACCCGGGTCAGTCAGAACTTGCAGGATTCTGCAGGATCCTGCAGGAGCCTGCACGCAAGCCCGGGTCCATGCGCCCCTGGCTCTGCAAGATCCTGCAAGATCCTGCAAGATCCAGCGAACTGACTGACCCCGACTGTTTCTCCTGGGCCCCTCACCCTCCCCCGTCCTTGAGCCCCGACGGGGCCCCTCACCCTCCCCCTATCCTCCCTGCTCGCCCGAGAGTGGCGCCAGCGTGTTCCTTGCCCGCGGGCCGCGGGGCCGCAATGTTCTTGAGCCTCTTCTTGCCTGGCTCGCAGCCGTGGGGCCCAACCTCCCGCCCGACTCACCCTCCCTCCTCCGTCATCATCTCGCCACTCCCCCTCCTACTACGAAGCCGCTGCGAAGAAGCGGAATGCCGGTGGGAATTCTACCTCCAGCAGCCCTGAACCCTCCTCCTCCTCCCCCTCCTCGGTCCTCTACCTCCTTCAGCCGCGGCGTCGCCTTCCTTCTCCCCAATCCCTCCCCCCCTTTCCATTCCCTGCTGCTGCTGACGTTGGCACTGCCCCGGCCGATCTTCTTCATCTTCCTGATCCACCTTCCTCCTCCTTCCTCTACCTCCTCCTTTTCTTGCTCCGCTACCTCCTCTACCATACTCTGTCTCCTCTACCTCCTCTACCTCCTCCTTATCTTGCTCCTCTACGTCCTCCTCATCTTGCTCCTCCTCCTCCTCCCCCTTCCTCTGCATCCTCCTTCCTGCACCTTCTTCCTCCTTCCTCTGCCTCCTCTGGCTCCGTCTGCGACCAGTTCCCCCAAACAGTGCTTGCACTCAGGGCTTCTTACGTCTCCCACTCCGACACACGACGGATCCGTCGAGGCTCCGCCGCTGCCGCCTCGTTGCCGCCCGCTTGGGGGGGGGGGTCACTCGAGGTTTCGCCGCGTCGCCGCCCGCTGCCGCCTCCTTGCCGCCAACGTTGGGGGATCCGCCGAAGCTTCGTGGCGTCGCCGCTCGCTGCCGCCTCTGTGCCGCCACCACTGGGGGCTCTGTCGAGGTCTCGCCGCGTCGCCGCCCGTTGCTGCCTCCTCGCCACCACCGCTGGAGGTTCTCTAGAGGTTTCGCCGCGTCGCCGCCCGCTGCCGCCTCCTTGCCGCCAACGTTGGGGAGTCCGTCGAGGTCTTGCCGCGCTGCAGCCTCGTTGCCGCCTCGTTGCCGCAGACTTGGCTTGCAGGGGGGGGACTCCGTCGAAGGTTCGCCGCGTTGCCGCCCGGTGCCGCTGGCTGCCGCACCGTTGCTGCCTCGTCGCCGCCCACTTTGGGAGGGGCTCCGCCGAGGCTTCGCCGCCTCGCCGCCCTCTGCCGCATCCTTGCCGCCCCGTTGTCGCCCATCTGGGGGGGATCCCTCGAGGCTCCGCCGCGCTGCCGCCCACTACTGCCTCGTTGCCGCCTCGGTGCTGCCCACCGTGCTTGCGGGTCCGTCGAGGTTGCATCACAGCAAGCAGATGCCATCGCATATCCTACACGTCCAATGTTGCAAGATCTGAATCGTTGGGGCACGCGCTGGCAAAGACTCCTCATGAAAGCACGTACCTCACAAGCAGACGCCGACTCAAAAAACCCAGATCCAAAAATGTTGACGGATCACGTTCTTCCGCCGGCTCCCGCCCACAAAGCCGCCGCCGCTCTACCTCCGCCAGCGTCCGTCGGTCTTCCGCCGGCTTCCGCCGGGTGCGAGACGCACAAAAGGCGAGGCCCGTTCTGGAGCACGCCAGGTGTCGGCGGGCACGATCATAAATTCGCACGAGACTCCCTCGTGGTCCATGACCTTCAGACTTGAAATATCCAGCAGCCTCACGGATGGAGGGCGGATCGTTTTCAAAGTCGGTTGCTGTTACCTTTCGCGGCGGGCACGAAACTTCTAATATTCAAACGACTGCACGGCAAGATCAATCAACATCGAATCGGGAAATTGGATCGAATCGGAATGTGCGTCGGATCGGCCCGCATCGGCACGGAGTCGGACCGAAGCCGGATCGGCCGTGCCAATATACACTGCGCAATGATCGGAACCGCATGGGATCGACGGAAATTCAGAATCGGATCGCATTGAGATGGACCGTGCAGTGATGGAGGGCAACTCCTTTCTAAATGCGCCTTCCTTAAACATGCCTCTGTCTCCTTGAGACGTGGTCAGGTGCTGTTGCGAACAAGCTTGACTTTTCCTACACCTGCGTGGATGGCAGAAAGCCGCGGGCGCTCTTTCAACATCAAGATCTCGCAAGGGACGTCCTCACATACTATGGGCCAACGCGCTCGCGAATATCCAACAACTGCCCAGATGGAGGTCGGACCTGTTTGTAAACCTGGCCCTCGCGTGATACCTCCTTTCTCTCGATGGCTCGCGGGTCAGCACGCATGGCATGTTAGTTCACGCGCCTGCCTTTCGAGCGGATGCCCTGGAGGCCTCGCCGATGGGAGAATAACAACATGTTGAATCGAAGCTCGCCTCCACGGAGGCAAACACAACGAGCATCAGCGAGCAGCGAGCTTCTTTTTAATACCAAGCTCTAGCCTGGAACTCCTCTAAGATCTGCTTCGACCCTTCAACTCTCTTCTTGCCCACCTCGCCCTTCGCGACGATTTCATCTTCTACCACTGCAGTCACCATCTCATGTCCCCCCTCTTCCCTCCGCCTCCTCCTCTGCCTTCTCCTCTCTTCCCTTTGCCGTATCATCGCATCTCCGCTTCCTCCTCTTCCTCCTCGGCTGACCTCTCGTTTCAATATTGCTCCTCTCACCTCCTCCTCCTCCGCCTCCCCCTTCTGCCTCCATCAGCTGCTTTTCCCCCCTCATTATCATGTCTCCTACTCCCTCCTGCCTTCGCTTCGGTTCGCTGGAGCGAACCGCGTGTCACTGCCCTGCGAACTCGGGAGCGGCCAAGAGGGGGGTGTCCAAGAGGGGGGGGTGGCGAATCATGACCGGCGGCATGTGCGCGGCCCAGCGGGGGGGCCATGGACGTCATGAGACAAGAAGAGGCGCCCTGAAATATGGGGAAACATCCTGGCCCCCGCAATGATATTCACCCCCCCTAGTCATCACCCCCCTCTTTTCCGCCCCCTGCGAACCTTACCGAGCACTAGAGGCCTCCTAGATGGGGTCCGAGCAGATGGGGTCGGAGGATCGCGCCGCATCGCCGATACATCGGCGATGCGCTGGCGGCGTCGGCGATGCATCGGCGACGTCGGCGTGGAGAAAATCGGGCCCCCCGTCGAGCCGCATCGCCGATGCATCGCCGATGCATCGCCGATGCAGCGGCGATGCGGCGCGATCCTCCGACCCCATCTGCTCCGACCCCATCCAGGAGGTCTAGAAGCACACCCTGCCGAACCGGGGAGACTCGACACGGCACCGGCGCAAGTCGGCATCGGAGCCCCCGCCCGCCTCTCTCTCCGGGCGGCGCGGCTCCGAGAGCCCCTGCGCGGACCGCCCCGCCTCCCACCGTCCCCCGGGTCAGCCCGACTCTGGCCAGGAGCTGTGGGCGGGCAAGATTTCAGGAGGGAAAACACACACAGACACAATTCATCGTCGACCCCCCAAGAAAATATGGGAGAATATGGGAATGGAGGCGGGAAGACAAAAACCCGGAAAATATGGGAAAGTGTGGGGAATAGGTTTATTTATGTGTATTTATGTGTGTCCTTGGGCCCCTTGACAAACTCTTGTGGGTCAGCCCGAATCTGGCCAGAAGCTCTGGGCGGGCCAAACTGAAGGGGCCTTGGGACACACAAAAAATACACACATTCAGAAGGTTCCCCATAGTTTCCCATATTTTGGGGGTTTCTGTCTTCCCGCCCACTGCCCATAGTTTCCCATATTTTCTTGGGGATCGACGATGAATTGTGTCTGTGTTTTTTTCCTCCTGACGAACCAGCAACCGACCCGCTCCCAGCCCAGAGCTCGCCTTCGGGTGTCCCCCCCGAGAGACGAGAGACGGGGACTGCAGGCTGCCAGGCTGGGCCAAGTCGTTCCCAGTAGCGTGGACTGAGGTGCCGAGCCTCCGCTCCGCCTGCTGCGGGGCCCAGCTGGGGAAACGCCTCCCTCCTCTGTCTCCTTCCTTCCACCCCTCCGCATCCCTCATTATTCCTCCCACTCCTCGTTCTCCTCCTGATCACTCCTCACCTTCCCCCTTCGCAGCCCGTCCCTCTCCCAACGGTGAGAGGTGCACCGAGCGGCAGACCGACCAGAGGACACTGGCCAAAACACATGTCTGGAGTCCTGCACTTGCAGACCTGGTGCGACGAAAAGTGGAGTTGGGAAACGACAAGCAAACAAACGATTGATCCACAGTGATGGACGGCCGTCGTCTGGCCCGCCTTGAAGCCAGCAGGGAATGTTCAACGGGCATTCGGGGAAGGATGACGACGACAGCGACAACGAGAAGAGGGGGGGGGGAGGGAGGAAGGAGGGTCAAAACAAGTGGAACGTGCAGAGGCGGAGGGGTGGGAAGGAGGAGGCGAGAAAAACACGAAGAGGCAATAGGAGGCGGGAAGAGCAGCGGACGGGGAGGGGTGAGGACGGGGGGGGGGGAGGGAAGGAGCGGGAGGACAACGAGGAGGGAGAGGGGGGCGACAAAACGGGGCACAGGTGGCCCCCCTGACGTTCCGACGAGCAGGGCCGCAGTTTCTAGTGTGCTGCTCGCCCTTGGTGGCGAAGATGCCCCCGAGCACTCCGCCGCTGGCGGGCTCCTGGGAGGCCTCCTTGGTGGGGGGGGGCGGCCCCGCTGTCCCGCCGGCCCGGCGTCAGTCTGTCCCTCCCTCCCCCAATCCGCTGCTGCTGCTCCCGGGAGGCCTCCTCGGGGGGCGGCCCCCGCCGTCCCGCCGGCCCGGCGTCGGGGCGACTCTCCCTGCCCCCCCCCTGCTGCTGCTGCTGCCCCTCATGCTGCGTCGTCCCCCTTCGCTGTACTCCTCGTCCTCAGCGTCCTCGCTGCCGCCGCCAGCATCAGCACTGGTCGCCAACAACCGACCGACGACCACCAGTCACCGTCACCAGTCGCCGGCCACCAGCCACCAATCGTCACTACCATAGGTTCCCTCCTTCTCGTCCTTCTCCTCCTCCTCATCGACGTCGTTATCATCCTCCTCTTGTTCGCCCTGATCCTTTTTGTCCTCTCGCCCCTCCTCCTCCTCCTCCTCCTCCTCCTCGTGCTCCTCCTCCTGCTCCTCCCCATCCTCCTCACCCTGCCTCTGCTTCTTTCGTTGCAATCTGTATCCGCCCCCTGGCCTCCGCCTCTCCTGGCCTGTATCACCCCGCCCTTTCTCTACTGTTCCTTGTCTCCCTCTGTCTCTCTTTCTCCTTCTCTGTCTATCTCTCTTTGTCTCTTTCTCGCTCTGTCTCTCTCTCTCTCTCTCCTGCCCGTGTGTACGCGTGGCCCCGCGTCCACGGTGTCAGGGCGCGGGGGCGGGGGGTGCCCCGTCCCTGCGCGCCGCGTTGCGGCCAAGCGCCCAACTGGCGGTCTGCCAAGCCGCCTAGCCACGTGTCAGCACGTCGCCTTTCTTGTTGGGGCCTTCTTCGTCACGCGGTCTGACACGTGAGATCTTCACCGTCTGTCCGCCGTCTGTAGCGTCTGTCGCACTGCGCCGGGGGAGGGGGTTTGTTGCCCGCCCTCGTATCTCAAGGCTGCACCGCCGCAAATAGTGTTTGGCGAGTTGTCGCACCGCAGTGCGTCTCGCGGACGGACCCTGGTCCGCCTACTTGTCCGGTCTCTCTCTCTCTCTCCCTCTCTCCCTCCCTGCCTCTCTGACTCTCTCGCACTATCGCTCTCTCTCTTTTGTTCTTTCTCTCTCTCTCTCTCGTTCCCCCTCTCTTCCCTTCTAATTCCCTCCCTCCCTCTCTCTCTCTCTGTCGCTCCCTCTCTCTCTATATATATGTATAGATATCTCTCTCTCTCGCTGTCTATCTCGCTCTCTCTCTCTCTGTCTCTCTCTCTCTCTCTCGTCCTCTGTGTCTAAATGTCCGTATGTTGTTCTACGTGAGGATCATTGTCTCTGCGTATCCCTCTCTCTCACGCCCTTCAGTCTCATCCCCCATCTCTACCCCGCATGTTGTCTCTCTCTCTCCCTCTCTCTCTCTCTTTCTCTTTCTCCCCCTATTTCTTCTTACGTCTATTTCTCGTCATGTATCTGCCTCTCTCTACCTCTTCCCCATCCTGTGCCTTGGCTCACATCATGCCCCCCATCCCCCCTACACTGCCACGTCTTGCTAATGGTTCCTTTCCCATACAGCACCACCCACCTCATCCTTCTCCTCCAGCTCTCTGTGTACTATAAAGCGTTCAGCGCCGCACCGTACCACCCGATGTTTCGGTAGGGCAGGCCAAGCACTTCGCTTGAGACCTCCTCAACAGTCGTGGTATTCACAGCTATTTAGGAGGAGGAGGGACGAGGAGGAGGAGGAGGAGGAGGAGGAGGAGGAGGAGGAGGAGGAGGAGGAGAGAAAGGAGGGAGGAGGAGAAGGAGGAGGAGGAGGAAACTATACTGTAGTGCCGCAGTGATCGCCCGTGAGTTTTCAGGGGCTCGCTCTCGAGGGCAGAGGACCTAACATGCATATGCGGCCAGCTTCTCAATGTCAGAGATTCCCAAACACAAAAACCTGTGTATGAGGTCGGCGCTTCGTGTCCACATTCGTGTACATCCTCCTCCTCCTCCTCCTCCCGATCCTCCTCCTCGTTCTCCGCCTCATCCTCCTCCTCCTCCTGCTCCTGTTCTTCCTCCTCCTGTTCCTCCTCCTCCTGCTCCTCCCCATCCTCCTCACGCTGCCTCTGCCCGTTTCGTTGCCATATGTGTCCTCCTCCTGGCCTCCGCCTCTCCTGGCCTTTGGCACCTCGCCCTTCCTCGACTGATCCTTGTCTCCCTATAGTTCTCTTTCTCTCTCTCTCTCTCTCTCTTGTTCTCCTTCTCTTTGTTTGTTCTCTCTCTCTCTCTCTCATGTATCTCTCTTTCTCCCTCTCGATCTCCCTCTCCCTGCATCTCTCTCTCACACACTATCGCTCTCTATCCCTCCATCTCTTTCTTTATACCTCTCCCCCTCCCTCCCTCTGTCTCTACCGCTCTCTGCCTTTCTGACTCTCTCTCTCTCTCACTCTCTCTCTCTCTCTCTTTCTCCCCCCCCCTCTCTCTCCCTCTGTCTCCTTCTTTCCCTCTCGCTCTCTCTCTCTCTCTCGCTCTCGCGCTCTCTTCTTATCTCAATGTCTCTTTCGCTACCCCTTTCTTTCTCTCTCTCTCTTTCTCTCTCTCTCTCTGTCTATTTCTGTTAAACTGTTGCTGTGTGCCGACTTGTCTGCATGTTGTTCTGTATGTGGATCATTCATTCTCTCTGTATCTCCCTAGCTCTCGCCGTTCACCATCGCCCCCATCTCTGCCCGACAGAACGAACAAGCCATACGCCAGTAGGCGCGTGGGCAAAAGCATGCGTCTAGCAAGCTCGACGCGGGATCAAGGAAAATGCCGCGAGCAGCCGGATAAAGCACAAGAGGTAGAAGAAGAGGAGGAGGAAGAAGGTGCTAGGAGAGCACCATGCACGTGGCTGCGTGCGTTTCCTGCCAGGGCGGCCGGGCGCAAAAAAAGAAGAAGTATGTTACAGATGGTCGCTTGCCACTTCAGGGCGTAGAATTGTATTCGCCGCTGCTCTGCACTGAATTGGGTCTTCCAAGCATTGCAAGAGCAGTTCATCATCACGGAAACGTGCAGAGAGTAAGTTATAGAAGCATTTCGCCCATTCTTGGTTGGGCCTGCCTCTCCTCCTTGGGTAAGCGTCCGTTGCTGGCCGGAGGCTGCCGGGCTGAAACGTCAGCTGCCGTGAGACATCAGAATCCGGAGCGCGACCAATCCTCCCAAAAAGTACCAATTGTTGATGTAAGAGTTGTGCGCTGTAAGGTAGTTGTCCAGCTTGCTCCAAAACGCTGCTGTTTGGTATTCGTGACAAAAAAGATGGAGGTATGTGCAGAATCTTACGCAGACACCGCGCTTGAAACCCATCGAGCCGTCGTTTGTACGCCTTGTTCAACCAAGCTGTTTTTAGAGAGTACATGAATTTTGATGTCATCAAGGCCTGGAATAGTTCCAGCTCCCGCCGCTTGCAAATAGATGTGTGTTTCCATGCCCTGTCGTATCTTGCGAATTTACTCCACGCTGCGCCACATATTCGATTGAGCTCTGTGTTAACCTGTCCATTGTTATACAACGCAGCTCCCAAGTATGTAAGGCTGGCCTTTTCCGTGATAGGCTGTCCTGTTGGCGTTCGCAATTGCACACCGCATCGCATAATCTGGAATGTCCCAGTGCAATTCCATTCCCACTTGAGCTCCAGCTGCAGCTATATGATCAAGAAGATGCTGGAGGCTGTCTTGGTTTCTGCCAATGAGCAAAGTGCCGTCGTCGTACAACAGCACTTGTAAACTCCCAGCAGACATGTCGGATCTTTCTTCGTCGTTGAGTTTGGCGACAGCGTCCCGCACCAGAACTGCCATAAGCATGACGAAAAGGAATGGTGACAGAGGGCACCCCTGAGAAATTCCTGACATCTGTGCTCGCTCAGATGACTTTGTCGCACCATCTGCAACACAAAACGCCGCCCACCGTAGATATTTCCAATGAGTGCGAGCATTTTGGGGGGCACCCCGAACCGGCGCAAAGCAGCCAGCAGAGCCTCGACGTTGATCGAGTCGAATGCTTTTTTCCCGTCCAGGGCAACGAACGTAGTACCACCATCGTTTTTTGGCATGCGCAAGCTCGATGAGACGGCGCACTGCGTGAACTGCGTCGGTGGTGCCTCGTCTGCGTCGGAAGCCGCACTGCGTCCGTGACAAACGGTATTCTGCTCCTGCTTGTTGGAGTCGGAGTAGGAGGAGGCTGGCCAGCAGCTTGTACGCCACGCATGGCAAACTGATTGGCCGGTAGTTATCACATAGATGGACAGGCCCTTTGTTCTTGTAGGTCGTGCTGATCTTGGCATGCCGCCATGCTTCGGGCACTTTCTGCTCTGCCCAAGTTGCGTTACGCAGCTCTGTAATCCATTGTAATCCGCCCGGCGTCTGCGACACTGCTTTCCAACACTCTGCTGGTATGTCGTCTGGTCCCGACGCTTTCCCTTATTTGAGCTTGCGGATTGCCATTCCCGCCTCTTTTAATGTGAAGGGGGATTCGTCCAGTGGGAGGTCGGGCCCCAACGGCTCATTGTCCACCAAATTTGCCGGACGTACTCGCCATTGAACTTGTTCGAAAAAAACCCGCCATCGTATCAGCTCGCTCGTGGCTTTCAACAAGTCTCCCCTGTAGGTTTTGTAATCTTCCTTCTTTGCGCTGCCGTGGACGACAATGTTTCCGTATGTCCTCCCAGGTTGCCGGCGACAATACGTGAATCCATCCACTTTGTCTTGTCGTGCTTACAAGCTTTTCGAACTTCTTTTAAGAGACGGCGCTCTTCCAGACGATCGTGGCGGTTGCGGGCTTGACTTCTAAGATTAATTAATACCAATGTGCGCTCGGATACCCAGGGTTGCTTGGAAACCTCCTGGCTCTTGGGAACCACTGCTGCTGCAACCAAGGCTGCTTTCGCCCCTTGCTCTCATAACAAATCCACATCGGGATGTCCAATAATATTGTTGACGATCTCGTCTAAAAATGCGTCGGCATACATTGATTGCACTTCCGGGTCCTGAAGCAAATGTCTATCTCTCGGGAGCGTCCGCGAAACTGGAGATTCAGTATGACTGTGCACGATGTCCACGGTTACCAAATAGTGGTCTGTGGAGAGAGCTGCTTGGCGATGGCTGCGTAAGGACCGCATCGATCCGAGTGTAACGGCGTCGCATAAGACATGGTCCAACATGTTGTACTTATCCACTGTGATGTCTCCCAACGGCAACGCCCCGGCCTCCATGGAAGTGACGATTTGTTCCAAGGGCCGGTCAAAGTGTTTGCTAATCGGAGGCCCAACCCAAAGCAACACTCAAGCAGCAGATCTCGATTAGGAACTTCGACTTGGTGGAGTGCTCGCCTTCCCCAAGTAAATGGCCCTACAACTTCTGATTCTCCAATGTCTGCCTGCCCGATTCTCGCATTCATGTCCCCCATGATGATTTTACCAGCTGTCGCTGAGCAGATCCGGAACTCGGAGTCGAGGGCTCTCCAGAACTCTCGTCTCTCTGGCAACGGTTTCAAGTTGTGGGGAGCGTACGCGCAGAAGATCCCGAACACGCGGTTGCCGATCTTGATTTTGAGTTGGTCCATCTCTGCCCCACACGTTCTATCCCGTTCTCTCGCTTACTGTTTATATCTCTTGCTCTTTCTATCTCTGCCTCTCTCTACCACTTCCCCGTCCTGTCCCTTGACTCACAGTATGCCTCCTTCCCCTCTACATCGCCATGTCTTGCTCGTGTTTCCTCTCCCATACATCACCGCCCTCCTCACCCTCCTCCTCCTCCATCTCCATTTGTGCTATAAAAACCTTCAGCGCCGCACCGCACCACCATATGTTTCGGTAGGACAGGCCAGGCACTTCGCCTGATACCTCCTCAACAGGCGTGGACTTTTATCGATTGAAGAAAACACGAGGAGAAGGAGGAGGAGGAGGAGGACAAGGAGGAGGAGGAGGAGGCAACTGTAGTGCAGTGCCGACATGATCGCCCCTGAGTCGTCTGGGGCTCGCCTCGAGGGCAGAGGACCTAATGTGCATATGCGGCCAGCTTCTCAGAGTCAGATATTCCCAAAAGGAACCTGTATGTGAGGTTGGCGCTTCGTGTCCACATTCATGTATCTCCTCATCCTCCTGGTTGTTTGTTGTTGTATCAACGTCCACCCCTGAAGTCCTCTCAACACAGAATTCCTCCGCGCATTCCACGACGATGAGGCCGACGGGCAAGGAAAGGAACGCGAAGTCCAGCACAAGAGGAATGTGCAGCATCTCCACACACGAATACTGCACAGACCAGAAGCCATTGTCCAAGAGTTGCCGCTCCCAGCAAAGAATGAGCACGACTACAAGATCGGCGCGGCGGCCTCATACAATGCAACACATATATGCACCAGGAAGCTCCGTTACGACGAAAAGGAAAAACACAAATGAAGACGAACTCAAACCAAGCCGAACGAATAATTCCGAAGAGCAGAAGCCAGTGCCAATATTCCCACGATGGCACCTAGCATGAGACAACTAGATATCATCAAACCTGTCCAGCGCGTCGTCGTTATCGTCTGAGTCCGACGCGAACTTGAAGAGGGGCACTCTTCACCACGACTTCGTGTCACCAACTCTGGGACCAAGCTGAGCATCCAAGAGACGGCCCACATCTGGATCAGCAGGGAGACCTCTCGGAACGCAAGGGGCGGAAGCTATCTCCGCACACGAAGCCCTCGAAGTCGAATCACGATCGACGGCAGGAGTCCCCACAACAACATCCTCAACACGACAGTCTGTCTGAGCACCCACGTGGTCGCGACCGCCGACGCCCGTCACACCCAAAGAGCCGACTACCCATGGGGGGGGACCCCTGGGCAGGGAACGGAAACTCGATCCCCACGACCTGTTCGGTCTCCTGTCCCACGTCGTGCTGCAGCTTCTCCTCCTCCTCCACGGCCTGGAACCGAGGTGCCAGGCGCAAGCCCGCAAGGAGCCCATCACCGACGGCACCCGCGAGGACCTCCTCGGGCAGCTGCCACACCCCAGGCGCCACGTCCACCACGGACCCCCCCCCCAGCAGTACTGGTCACGCCGCAGGCCCCACCTGCGGCTGGGAGGGCGGCTCTTCGGCGCAAAATCCACCGCCGCCCAGCCCCGGGCGCGGGCCAGCAGCCTCCCACGCGATGCCCTCCGCACAGGCCCGCGCGATGCCGCCTGGCGGCACCCGGGGCGCGTGCCGAGCGGCGTTCCGCCTGCGCCGCTCGGAACCCGGGACTCGCCCGCCGTCCACCGCAAACTGCCAGGCTGGCCGCGCCGCACGCCCTCGGCCCACGAGCCCCGGTGCAGCGCGCGCTGGTACCAGCGGCGCGAGCGCAGCCTTGAGGGCGGCTCGGGCCCGCGATCGTGCAGCTCGACGAGCGGCGGTGGCCCCGAGCAGGGAGCTCTCGCGCTGCCGCTGCGAGGCAGGCCGCCACAGCGGGCGGCCTCCTCGCAGACATCCTGCGGGAGCGGATCGCCGGCAGCCGCCTCGGCGCCGGCCGCACACGGCGAGCTGGCTCGAGCAGTGGGGCCGTCGCTCGCTCCCGAGCGGCTCGAGCCAGAATGGCTACGGAGGCTCCTCCTGGTCCTCCTCCTCCTCCTCCGCCGCCTCCTCCTCCTCCTCCTCCTGCTCCTCCTCCTCCTCCTCCTCCCAGCGGGCCCCAGAAATAATGCATCTTCGCCTCGCTTCATGCGTGGAATCGCGTCCACATCCACCGTTCTTGGCACACGCGTGCCCAGCGCAAGCATTAGCACCATGCCCAAACACAACCTTTCATCCACGAGAGAAGACTGAGATTAGCACTTTTCCTGTGATCAACTCCCCAGCCTCAACCAGTGTAGCGTATTGTAGAGGTTGATGGCACCGGTCTCATGCCCAGGACCTTCCTTACTATGTCACAACCGTACTCAATTGATCGAACATCACAAGACGACTGCGATCTTCCCTGCCAGCCCTATCATGGCGATCGCGATTGGCGAAATGCAGTCTGGCAAAACGCCTCCAGAAGAGGAGGGTCCAGAATATCGAGACGCGACAGGAAAAGGGGGTCCTGCATATTATGAAGGACTATTATGAAGGCAACCTGAATACCTACTCTGTTGGAGGTGCGGCGGTCTTCAAAAGGGTGTTCCAGAATATTGAGGCGCGACATGGCCAGGGGTCCGGCATGATTATTACGAAGGGAAGGCACCCGAAATACCTACTCTGTTGGAAGTCAAATGGCTTTCAAAATAATGCTCCCTTAATTCAACATGCCGTCACCGTTTCGGCGTCGCGCTCTTTCGCCCAACAACTTGCAGACACCAGCACGGTTGGAGGAGCCTTGGCACCGCGCACGGTCATCTCAGATGTGACCGGCAGATTTGCAAACTGAGGGCGGATCGTATACAAGATTGGGGTATCGTCTTGATGCACCGCGCGTGCGTCTTCCACAAATCCTCCTACGTTGCTCGGGTGGAACGCGATTCCTTCTTCGAAATGCTTCTCTCGCTCGAGAAGTCCCTGGATACATGAATGACCATATCGCGTGATAGTTGCACGGCATGCGAGTGGATCCTGTTTCAGAACTTGGACGGCCCAGAATTGAAAATCGTGCAGCCGCTACACGACCAGAGGATGCTCCTTTTGAAAACGGCCCCCTCGCCAGATAGTCCCTTGAAACCAACTTGCCCTCCCTCATTGCAGTTCGTGCGTCTGTCATGCGTGAACTTCCCGCAGCGTAGAGAATCCGCCACCGTGCCGCTGGGCACGGAGTGGGCTTGTCCTCAGGTCCTGGGCTCACTCCGCGATGCGTCAATCCTCACTCCAGCGGAGTCTTGGAAGGGCCCGGACTAAAAAGTCAGAAATCTCTGGAGGTTTGTCGCGTGCCCTCTGAACGATGGGCCCCAAGATGGGCCAGAGGGCCCCACACGAAGCTCCCAAAGACGGCCCAAGAAAGTCCCGAGTCGCCGAACGGTCGGTCCAAGACGCCCAACATGGCCGTGAGACGGTCCAAGAGACCTCCAAAACGCCCAACGAGGCCTCCAGAAGGCCTCCCGAGAGGGCCCCAAGAAGAACAAATCCTTGATTTCCAATTAGTGTTTGGAGAATTTTGACGTTCTCACCTTTTGGGCATCCCAAAGCTCCACTACGGCCCACGAGGTTCTCACGGTTGCCCCAAGATCCCCCAAAGGCCCCCAAGAGGGCCTCGAGACGGCCCACGAGGGCCCCAAGACTGCCCAAGAGGTGCCCACGACGACCTAAGAGGGCCCAAAGACGGCCCCTAGAGGGGACCCAGATGGGGAACCCGAACGGACATTTCGAGCCCTCGGCCCCGAGGGGCTACCAGGAGGCCCCTAGAGGCCCCCGAGAGGCCCCGAAGAGGCCCTAAGAAGCTCCCAAGAGGCCCTAAGAGGTCCCCAAGAGGCCCCCAATAGGCTCCCAAGATGCCCCCTAACTGCTCCCAAGAGGCCCACGAGAGCGCCCCGAAGAGACTCACAAGCCAGGCACGGTGGCAGGATGGCCCGAAGGCCATTCGATGCTTGCAAGCACTTGCGAGGAAGGGAATAAGGATCTCCTCCTCCTGCCCCTCCCCTTTCCATTCATCTCTTCTTCCGATTGGCTTTAGCAGCTGCCGAATGGTCAGTTGACTGTCTCAACACATGTAGGCACAATGCGCTCAGACGTCGCGCAAAGGGCGCTGCACTGAAAGAGCAGGCACTGTTTTGTTGCATCTTTACTTACGAGAGCACCCTCGTCAGCATAACCCCAGCAAAACCCCTCTCCTCCTCCTCCTCCTCCTCCTCCTCCTCCTCCTCCTCCTCCTCCTGCTTCTCCTCCTCCTCCTGCTTCTCCTCCTCCTCCTCATTTCCCTCGTCCTCCTCCTCTCCCCCTCGCCCTCGAACTCTTTTCGCTCCTCCTCCTCCTTCTCCACCTCGCCCAGGGCGCAGAAAGTGGATGTGGCACAGGCCTCGAGGCACCGTTAGTCGTCCGCTGTCCGCCCGTCGCTCGTCTTTGTCGTCGGTCGTCGTCGGTCGCACCCGCCGCGCCTGCTTCGCGACGCCACGGGGTCCTGGGGCGCCGCCTCGCTCAGAGCTCCCGGGGCAGAGGGCGCGCTCTGGACCACTATCTATAGAGCATTGCGTCGCCGATCCCCTACTCGTCCTCCTCCTCCTCCTCCTCCTCCTCCTCCTCCTTCTCCTCCTCCTCCCCCCGCCTCCTCCCCCCGCCTCCTCCTCCTCCTCCTCCTCCTCCTCCTCCTCCTCCTCCTCCCTCCTCCTCCTTCTCCTCCTCCGTCTCCCCCACCCTCCTCCTTCACTCCTCCTCCTCCTCCTCCTCCTCCTCCTCCCTCCTCCTCCTCCTCCTCCTCCTCCTCCTCCTCCTCCTCCTCCTCCTCCTCCTCCTCCTCCTCCTTCTCCTCCTCCAGCTCCTCCCCCTCCCATGGAGAGGCGAGGGGCCGCCCGAGCCCCCGCGGCGTGCGCGGGCAGGCTCCTCCTCGGCGGCAGGCCTTGCGGCGGTGGGCCTGCCGGCCTGGGGCGGGGGAGGGGCAGGGAGGAGGGGCCCAGGCCCTCGGAGAATGGGGGGGGGGAGGGGGGGGAAGCCGGGAAGGGGGGGGGGGAACATGTGGAAGGGGAAGCAGGGGAGGGGAAGGAGGCAAGTTAGGTGCGCTCGCGTCAACATCTGACATCCTACCCCTCCCTTCCATCCCTTACCATGGCGCTGATTTCTCTATCCGCGGACGCGTGTCGTAGCGGACCTGTGGCTCCGCGCGCGTGTGCGTAGTGGGTGGTGGTGCGCGTGCGTGCGTGCGTGTGTGCGTGGTTGTGGTTGTTGTGGTGGTGGTGTGTATGTGTGTGTGTGTGCGTGTGTGCGCGTGTGCTGTGGTGTGACGTGGTGTGGCGTCTTAGTGGTTTGGTGGTGGGCCAGGTGCGTACGTGCGTGATGGCGGTGGTGGTGGTGGTGGTGGTGGCGGTGGTGGTGTGTGTGTGTGTGTGTGTGTGCGTGTGTGTGTGTGTGTGTGTGTATGTGTGTGTGTGTGCGTGCGTGCGTGCGTGCGTGCGTGCGTGCGTGCGTGCGTGCGTGCGTGTCTGTGTGTGCGCGCGTGTGATGTGGTGTGGCGCGGTGTAGCGTGGTGGTGGTGGGTGGGGTAGTGCAGTGGTGGTGGCGGTGCGCGGTGGTGGTGCGCGTGCGTGCGTGCGTGCGTGCGTTGGTGGGTGGAAGTGGCGGTGGGTGTGCGTGCGGCGGGGCAGGGCGTGGTGCGGCGCGGCGGTGGCGGGCAGATGGGCGCGCGAGAAAGAGGCCCGCGCTGGGGCGAGAACGCCATCCAGAACGACGGAGGCAAAACACCGATCCGAAAATGAGGCCCACGCTGCAGCGGGAGCACGATTCGGAACGATTCGGGAGCAGAAATGAGGCCGGCGCCTCAGCGAGAGCAGCATTTTGAAACAAAAACGCATGCGAAAACCCAACTCCGGGCAATCGTGTGTAAAAAACAATACGCGGGGGGGGCGAATACGCAAAAGACGTCATCAGAAGAAGAGGGAGAGTAGTATTCATATTGAGTAATTGTGAAGGGGGGAAGGAGGGAATGGGGAGGGAGGGAGGGGGGGAAGGAGAGAAGGGGGAGGGAGAGAGGGAGGGGGATGAGGAGGAAAGGAGGGGGGAGGCGCCTGCCTTTGACCCTGGGCCGCTGCGTGGGCAAGCTTCCGAGGAGATCGGCGCGCAGGTCAGGAGGGCCAGGGGGGAGAGGCCTCTCCCTCACACCCCCTCGCCTCCCGCAGGAGGGGGGAATTTAGGAGGCGGGGGTACCAGCCCAGACCCCCTCGCGCCGTGAACAAGCACGACGGAAGTCGAACTTCCACTTCGAAACATATCCCCGTTGCTCCCCCCCTCCCAGTGCCCCATGTACAATGTATTTCCTCTGATGAATTGCCCCTCTTGGGGCTCGCACCCTCCCTGTTTTCTACAAGGGAAAAATCTTGAAGCTCAGACTGGGTCCCCTGCCCCCCCGCCTGATACTTTCTCACCATGTATTCAACATCGCGCTCTCGCGCGGGACTTCCTTGCAACTTACGCAGGAATCACGTTCTCGCGTGGACTCCCGAAGACTTAATCAAAGCTCCGCGCCCTCGACACTAAGGAATCATGCTCGTGCTCTGGACTTCCTCACGATTAGATTTGGAATCGCAAAATCGTCCGGACCTTTCTCGCGATTCACGAAGGACTGACGCTTCACCGACCCGCCGTTCGACCCGGCCGTCTGGGCCAGCCCTCTCCGCCCCCAACAGGCCCCAGGACCCAGCAGACGCTTTTGTGTGGTATTGGGATATGTGTTCGGGGAATTCGCTTCTGCCCCGCAGCCCCCAGGAGGCCCCCAGGAAACACTTGTACTGGGACTTCGCCCACATAGACTTCGCCCACTATTGGCTTCGCCGCCCCTCTCCTGGGGTTCGAGCCCTTTGTGTTTTACATATGTTCCTCTAGATTGCTTCTCTCCTGGGGCTCACATCCTTTGAGACTTGCGTTTGCCCCAAAGGGTGCCTCTCGACTGGGGCTCGACTCGACTCTTTCGTGTTTTGCGTATGTTAGATTGGCCTCGCGGCCGGCTGCTTGTGTCTGTTTCTTCCCGAGTTGGCGCCGACAGGGCGACTCCTCGCTGCATGTGCACTTCGCGCGTTCTCGCGCTAATTATCTTGCGCTGTGCCCCAGCCTCGGTCCTTACGCCCTCTGGGCTTTTCCTTGCGGGCCGCTAATCAAAAAGTATGTTAGATTGCCCCTCGACTTGGGTTCGAGCCCTTCGTGTCTTACGTATGCTCGTACAGGTGACCCCTCTCCTAAACTTTCTTGTTTCGAACCCTCACCGCTCCTCAAAACCAATTTGATGTTTCAGATGTGTCGTGCGAATTGACGGAGGGACAATGCCTCGGGAGAGGTGTTGGTTCGATCTCCTTGGGCGGGAGATCTGGGTGTGGGGATATCGCCCCCGCTACCGCATAGTTCCCCCCCAAAGGGGGTGGCATCATGACGGATGCATGTGACACGTAGAAGCATGGCGCATGAGGGTAACTTGACTGGTGTTGTCATTGCTGTTGCTTTCTGCCTCTGGGGGCCCTCAAAGGGCCCTGGGACCGTCAAACAACGACCCAGGATGACAAACACGTCCTGGGGTATGGGTCCGGATCTGTGGGTTCCACTTCATGATAAGATGCGACGCGGGGGGTCTAGGTCTGGTGGCAAGGCACCCCGTGTGCCAGGGGGGGGAACGCTTGTTCGGTTGCTCCGCCGCCTTCGGCCGACAGAGGGAAACCAAGCTCCGAGATCCGTGGATGCGCAGAGCCGAGAATCGGGGGGGAGGTGGGGCGAGGAAGGGGACCCAGACTTCTTCGCATCTGGGAAATATCACAAGCGGGAGGTGTTTCGTCAGCTTCGGCCTTGAAGACGGGCCCCGGGGCTATCAGAAGAACAACTCTGGCTGGAAACCTGGTCCGGGCAAGGGGTCTAGACCTCTGGGGGTACACGTTGTGAAGAAACCTGCCCGCGGAGTTCTGGGTCAACCGCAACGGCAGGGCCCATAATTGCGAGGAGGGAGGGCAGCGGAAGCGGGCGTCCGTGGAGTTAGAGGCGGACGTCCTCAGCCACACCGAGAAGGGCAACTCGTGCGAGAAAACCCGGCAGAGGCAGCGCGAGTCGGGAACGGAGCCCAACGGCATCATTTGCAGTTCGAGTGCCCACGGGTGCGAGATGAGTCGGCAGTGGCAGCAGGCATCGGAAGCTGAGCTCGAGGCCGATCTTACCAGCAATCCATCGTGTGATAAGTGTGACCCATGGGAGCAGATTTGGGACAATATTTCTGATGCCAGCGCTATCATATGCAATGCAACGACCCGGAGTTGCGAGAAAGGTTGTCAATGCCAGTGGCGAAGTCCCTCGGAGCCGAGGAAACTGAAACTGGGACCGCTGGCATCAGCAGCGGTTCTTGGGATCAGCGCGTAGGAATCTCCAGTGGTGCAGCGCTGCGTCATCGGCTACAAGCGGCAGCAGGCCACGGAAGGCGAGTTGGACATCAACGTCACCGTTAGCTAGAGGGACAAGGGGGGCAGAGCGGGAGAAGGGGGGAGGGGAAGGAGGGGGAGGAGGAGGAGGAGGAGGAGGAGGAGGAGGAGGGGGAGGAGGAGGAGGAGGAGGAGGAGGAGGAGGAAGAAGAAGAGGTGGAGCGTAACCGAATGGTGAATTCGATTAGATATAGCACGGAGAGACCGGCATCCCGCGAGGCGGGAGATGAGAGAGAGAGCGAAGCAACATACATACGGGGAGGTGGAAACCGAAGGAGACGAGCTCCGCACAGGCCCACCGCTCAAGGGAATGGCATGCAACGGCGCAGAACACACAGTCGGAAAGGATTGACCAGAAGACGAGGAAACGCGTTGTAAGCTTTTCCCTGCGCGAGTGCAAGCGAATAACAAATGAACGAATAGTTCAGAAGACAAGCGGCCACCGCTGACGCTCGTCGGAGAGGAGGAGCTTCCGCGCGCCGCGGAGGAGGTGGAGGAGGAGAAGGAGGAGGAGGACGAGGAAAAGGATGAGGAGGAGGATGAGGATGACGACGAGGAGGAAGAGGAGGAGGAGGAAAAGTAAAAGGAGGAGGAGGAGGAGGAAGAGGAGGAGGAGGCGGCGGAAGGGGCGCAGGTGGAGGGAGTAGGCAGTTGGCCGCGCACCGCGGGAGAGGTGGAGGGAGGGAGGGAGGGAGGGAGGAGGATAAAGGGAAAATAGGACACACAAATAAATACACACAAATAAAAATATTCCCCATATTTTCCCATATTTTCTGGGTTTTTGTCTTCCCCCCCACTTCCCATATTTTTGCATATTTTCCTGGGAGTCGACGATTAATTGTGTCCGTGTGTTTCTTTTCCCCCTGAGAAGAGGAGGGGAGGTCTGGGGAGAGCGAGCCCTCGCGCCGACCCCAACAGAGGACAAGCCCCGAGGTGGTGGCCCGAGCCCAGAAGCCCCGCCCACCAGCCAGGGCATCTGCGGCAGAAGCGCGGGCCCCGCGAGGCCGGAGCGAACGCCCCGCGGGGAACCATCCCGCGCGGAGCTGCCGCCCCAGACATGCGACGTCCCCATCCCTTCAGGACGACGTCCCTGGAAGCCCCGACCCTTTCCCCCGGACCGGCTCTTCGTCCTGCGTCGGTGTTTAACGGCCCCGAGGCCCAGCGAGGGCCCCCCGGGGCCGAAAGTAGCCCAAAACCTCCCGTCCTGATTCTTGTGACGACGCGATCACGTCTGGGGCGCGAGCACTCCGTGGGGAGCCCGCCTGCGCGATGCCCCCGTGCCGCGGGCCCTCCCGGCCTCCTGGGGCGGCGTGTCCGCCTCCACCTCTGGGGCGCTGACGTCGGTCTCGGGCCTGCCGGCCTCGTCGTTGGTCTCCTCGGGCGACGCGGGCCCCTCGTCGAGCCGATCCTCGTCCCTCCTCGGCCTCCCTACGACGACGCCGACGACGACGACGCCGACGACGACGCCGACGACGACGACGCCGACGAGGCCGACGAGAACGACGGCGACGACAACGAGGATGAACCGAGAATCTCTGAAATCCGGCGGCTCTGGAGGATGTCTCGGGCGCCGCGGCCCTTTCGGACCGCTTCGAGAGCATCCTGGGGCGCCCTGGAACAAAGCTGCCTTCGCCCTCACCCCGTCCAGTCCTGGAGCGCTCTGGAACAGACGTGTCCTCGTCCGAGTCCCGTCTGGCTCGGACGCCCAGCGCCCCGGACAACCCGAGGCGCGTGCTGGCATCGTCGCCCTCGGCCGCTCGGGGGCCGGGGTCTCGAGCCCTGGGGCCGTCCACGAAACCGACTCGGGGCGAAGAGCCGGCCCGAGCACCGCGCGCGGGAATGCGAGGTGCCAACCCTTTGGCGGCGAGAGCGACGCGGGGAATCGCGAGAAGGGGCGGGCCTTCTCGGAAGGCTCGGAAGTCGCCGGGCCTCCCGAGACGTCTGAAGGGGAACTGGGACACACAAATAAATACACACAAATACAAATATCGCCCATATTTTCCCATATTTTCTGGGTTTTTGTCTTCCCCCCCACTTCCCATATTTTCCCATATTTTCCTGGGAATCGCCGATTAATTGTGTCTGTGTGTTTTTTCCCCTCTTGAACGTCATGCGAGCCTTTCCCGAAGACGCGGGGCACCTCTCAGGCGGGAGGCCCTCTGAGAAGTCCCGCGGCCTTCTGCGAGGGGGGGACCGGAAGACGACGCCGGCACCACGAAAGCACCCGTGGAACAACATTTGGAATTGGAGGGAAGGCCTTTGAGTGGTTAGAGGAGGTCCTTCTCCTCCTCCTCCTCCTCCTCCTTCTCCTCCTCCTCCTCCTCCTCCTCCTCCTCCTCCTCCTAGTCATTATCTTCCTCCTCCTCCTCCTCCTCCTCCTCCTCCTCCTCCTCCTCCTCCTCCGCGAAAGCACTCGTGGAACAACATTTGGAATTGCGCTCTGGGCCAGCGAGGGTCCGCCCTGGCCTTTGGGCGTGGCTTAATGTCGGGGAGACGTAAGACCCGGGTACGGGGGACTCAGAAATCCCCGACGAGGTCGTCAAAAAAATGACGAGGCCGAGCCTGCATTTTGACGAGGCCTCCCGCTGCAGACATCCCACAAAACTCCTCCTCGTCAAAATCCGAGTCGCGGTCGTCAAAAAACGATGGCGAACCCGAGTCCCGGCAAACCCGGGTCTTACGCTCCCCCGATAATGGGGGGGTCACAAATGGGGGGGTCAGAAAAGGTCCCCTTTCGTGCCCCTTTCGGGCCCCCCCAGAGCCCCAGAGGGCTCGTTTAGGTACCGGTTGGGTACCTTTTCGGACCACGCTCGCCACCCCCCCATTTATGACCCCCCCATTACGCGGCGCCCAAGGCCTTCGGCATCGCAGGGGGGCCAAGGGAAGGGAGGGGAAGGCAGACGTTGCGCAGCACGCGGGAGGGAGGGCAGGAAACGAGAAGAAGCGCGAGCGAGAGGCGAGGCTGGCGGGCCTTCTCGGGAGAGGGGGTGGGCGAGGGAAGGGTCCCAGACATGCGACGTCCTGATTTTGTTCAGGACGGCGTCCCTGGATAAAACAGGGCTAGGATCGGGATAAACCGCTCCAGAGCGTTCCGGAGCGCTCTCAGAGAGTTCCGGAACGCTCTGGAGCGGCCGCGGCGCCCAATACGTCCTCCAAACCCGCCGATTCTCAGAGATTTCGAGTTATCCCGATCCGATTTTGTCCCGATCTTCGCGTCATTTGACTGGAAGCCCCGACCCTTTCCCCGGGACCGGCTTCTCGTCCTGAATCGTCCTTTGACGGCCCCGAGGCCCGGCGAGGGCCCCCTGGGGCCGAAACGTAGCCGAAAAACCTCCCGTCCTGATTTTTGTTACGACGCGATCATGTCTGGGGTCCATCCATAGAAACCTGCTTTGGGGTATGCGATGCGTCGATCCGGAGCAGTGGGGCCCCCACGGGGTCCTCGCCGTTCGTCTCCCCGCCCTCGTCGTTGGTCTCCACGTACGCCGCCTCCTGCGGGCGCGGGGGTGGACGGGCGGGGAGCGAACGAGCGAGATAGAAGGGAGGAGGGAGGCCAGAAGCAGGAGAACTCGGGGGGAGGAACAAGGAGGAGGAGGAGGAAGACGAGGAGGAGGAAGACGAGGAGGAGGAAAACGAGGAGGAGGAGCGAGGAGCGAAGAGGACCCACTAGGGACGAACAGGAGGAGCCAGGAAACAGGGAGAGGATGAAGAGCGAGGAGGAGGAGAAGGAGGAACAAAAGGAGGAACGGGGAAGGACGCGGAGCGAGGAGGGGGAAGAGGATCCGCCGACCCCGGCTTGCTGTTGGTGAACAGGCGTGCGAAATGATGGGCGTCACCCATTTCCTTTTCCTCCTCCCGTGGGGTGTAAAATAAACCACCACCCCAAACGGGGGCTCGAGCTCGTCAACGTACCCCCCCGGGGCCGCTGGACCCTTCAAATCCAGCCTCCGTCGCCTCCAAAAACCCAGAATGTTTTCCAGTATGGCGCGAGGAAGGCACCAACACGCCCAGACGAACTCAAAATCATTCATGATGGGTGGTTTTGACGGCAAAAGACGCCGAAAAAGAGCTCGAAGGGGACCTCAAAAAAACACATGCGAAACTCATAGATTCCTGATGTACTTTTTGCACTTAGGATTCGCGCTTGTTTTCTAAGAAAGTGGGCCTCGCTGGCGGTTCAGCGGGCTTGTCTTGGCCCGTCGCCACCCGTCGCCGCCGCCCGCTTTACGCATGGGTGGCGGGCCGGCCAGCTCGTCGCCGCCTGTCGCCGTCGCCCGTCGCCGCTGCGTGTAAGTTGCAACTTTGACTGTGCAATCCTCGTGGACTGTCCGTTCTACCAGGAACACAGACTCTTTCACCTGACGTTCTATAGCCGCCTGATGGGACAATACAGTTGACATTCGATTTTCCCCCATCGTTCTTTTTGAATGAAAGCACATACCATCCTAAAATATACCGTTTATGGACCCCCGTCCACCCGTCAAACAGAACTCTGCGCGCCCACACGTTCATCAAGAACATGTATGCTCAAGCGCCCGTTGCAAAGCTCAATCGAAATCCGCGCGCGCATGGCCATCATCGTCGTCGGCGTGACCAACCTCGGCGCCGTCTTTGGCCTTGCCGTCGTCATCGTCAGCCTCGCCCCCATCATCGCTACGAACATCATCGATTCCGCCGTTGTCAACAATATGATCGCGCCCGCCCGAATCACCGACCCACACTGAAGCGTCCGTGCGCCAGGGCGGCCTGTGAGACGCGCTGGGCAGTCCCGATCGGTCACCGCCACCGCTGCCGCGTCGGTTATGCCAGACTACCTGGGCGCTCTTCGCACGAGCTTGCGCGCTCTCGCGCGGCCGCAAACATGAACCCAGACAGTGCCAAGCAGTCATCGCATTCGCCAACGCATGGGTTTTGGAAACAAAATTGCGAGTGGAAAGGTGAGATGATTGTGCGAGCAATGGGGTTGACAACTCCAGGTTCTTCAACGCATATTTAACCGAAACGAAGAATATTCTGCTTCAAGCGACCCCCGCGCGCGCTTACTGGAAGGACCCGCGCAATGCCTGGCGGCGTCGGTCAGCGCGGCGGCCGGGCCAGGTCGCAAGTTGATGTTCTCCGAATTCTAACAACCTCAACGCCCCTTTACGAAGACAAACCCAAGCCCGCAACAAGTTGTGCGATGCCCTAAAATTTGCGCTGAAATAAGATCAACCTCTGGAAAGAGGAAGCGTAGGAACAACAGCAGCACCGCGAGGAGCGGGCGGACGACGAAGGGCGAGGAGGAGGAGGAAAAAAACGCGAGGCGGACCCCTCCTTCCTCTCCTGTTCCTCCCCAGCGCCCTCGGTCCTCCCCCCATCCTCCTCCTCCTCCCCCGTTCCCTCCTCCTCGCCCTGTTCGTCCTCGAGTCGGTAGATGCATCGATCGGCGATGATCCGCCTCTCCCCCCGCGCGAGGAGTCGGGTGGGACGGCGGCAAAGAGGGGGCGGAGGAGGAGGAGACGCGGGGAGAGGGGTGAAGCAAGGAAAACGCAGGAGGGGGCGAGGGGTGTGGGGGGGGAAGGGCAAGGTGGGAGAAGAAGGAGGAGGAGGAGGAGGAGGAGGGGGAGGAGGGGGTCAAGGCACAGGAGCAAATTGGTAGAGGAAGGGATGGAGGCGGAGGAGAGGTGGAGGAGGGGGAGGAGGAGGAGGAGGGGGGATGGGTGGGGGGGCGCGTGGTGGGAGAGGAGGAGGAGGAGGAGAGGAAGAAGAAGAGCAAGAGGATGGGGAGGTGGAACCGCGACGATGATTGCGGGGTGAAGCTGGACAGACAACGAAGTGGACCTTCCAATGAAAGTACTCCGGCACGGCTGACGTGCAGGGCGAGAAACAGGAAGACGCTGTGCAGTGGTAGCTGGTAATGATGGGCTTTGTTATGTTCGAGTCGATCCTGCCCCAATCTCGATATGCTCTGCTGTCGTGTTCTGATATGTTCTGTAATAGTGTGTCATAAGATGGCCTGTTCTGCCGTGATGCTCTTCTCACCGCCGTTGTTGTATTCAAAAGCGTTGGACAGTATTCCGCGGAGTAACTCTCTAACAGGTTGTGCTCTAGTATGTCCAGCTATGCTCTCGACGGGCCAACGTGACGTCGTGACGCCCGGGCGACGCCGTCGAGTTGTGGCTACTGGATACGCGATGTTGTGCTAAAGTGTGTATGTGTGTGTGGTAGGATTATGCCCCGATGTAGAGTGTGCCGCTGTGTTCTCCCATGTTCTGATATCGACGGGCCAGCGTGACGTCGTGACGCCTGTCGCGCTAGAGACATCGTCGTATCACTCATTGTTGTGACTCTTGATTCCTGTGGCGACGCTGACAAAAATGCACGTACGGTTTATTATGTTACGATGTCCCTCTGCCCTTCCGTTATCTCATTCATGCAAGTATGCTCTGTCATGCACGCTTGTGCCTCAATATGCTTTGGTACGTTATGCTATACTCTGCCCTTTGGCACCATGTTAGGGCATGATATGCTCCCTCGGCTTATGTTGTACTATGATATGATCAGTGGTGGTGTTGCCGGCTCGGCTCAATATAATAAAGTATGATATGACATGTTAGTATGATTTGTTATGTCATATTCTGTCGTGGTACTCCTCTCCTCCACTGCACTACTGCCGTTTCTGTATTCAAACACGGTTCAACCGAGATCAATGTAGCAACGATATGTCATGTTATGCTCTATTATGTCCTTGTCTGTTGTCGACGGGCTGGCGTGACGTCGTGACGCTTGTGACGTTAGATGCGTGGTCTCTTGTGATGCCCCTCTTCACCTATATGTTTCTCTTCTTGTTGAATATGTTATGTTATGATCATATATTTCACCATATGGTTGCAAATGTTGTGGCATGATCTTCATTGCAACGCTATGTTATTGCATGATATGCTGACAAAATATGTTGTAGTATGCTATGTTCCGTGATGCTGTTGACGGCTCGGCTCAGTATATTATGATATGATCTGCTTTGCTAGTATGTTTCGCAATGCTGTGGTGCCGTGCTGTGATATGTTGTGCGATGCTGTACCATGATATGGCGTGTCGTGCCATAATGTCTTATGTTATGCTCGGTTATAGTATGTTATGTTGTAGTTTGTCGTATTATGTTATATCATGCTATGCTTTGGTATGCTCTGTGATGTGGTGTTTGTGGACGACTCGGCACAGTGCAATAGATTATGACATGGTATGCTAGTATGTGGCGATATGCTACACTGTCGTGTTATAATATGCCCTGAGATGAAACGCAATGATATGGGAGGTTCTGCCAAGGTGTCTTATGGTTTCCTCGGACATGCTATGGTATGTTGTGTTATGCCGCCTTCTGTTCTACCATGCAATGATATGATTTGTTATGTGATGTTATAGCAGGCTCTTATTTGCCATTATATTCCTATGCTGTGCTCTGTCATGTTATGCCATGCTCGTGTTATGTAATGTTATATTATGGTGGCATGTTGTGTTCTGGCGTACTCGCCGCCATCACGCTCGGTGATGTTAAATTATGTTGTGTTCTGTCGTGTTCTGTTCCGTAATGTTCTGCTCTGGCATGTTCTGTAATCTGCTGGTGTCCTTTATTTTGTCATGGTGTTAATCTGCTCTGTTCTGCCATCTTCTGTGATACTCTTGCTCTGTTCCGTCATATTCTGTTGTGTCATTTTGTGTTCTGTCGTGTTTGTCGAGGGTGCGAGACGGGATAACTGGGACTCTCGCGACAAATTGGGGTCTGGCGGCCGCTGTATTAGAGTGTGTTCTGTCGTGTTTGTCGAGGGCGCGAGGCGGGATAACCGGGACTCTCGGGACAACATGGGGTCTGGCGGCCGCGGTATGCAGGGTGTGTTCTGTCGTGTTTGTCGAGGGCGCGAGGCGGGATAACCGGGACTCTCGGGACAACATGGGGTCTGGCGGCCGCGGTATGCAGGGTGTGTTCTGTCGTGTTTGTCGAGGGCGCGAGGCGGGATAACCGGGACTCTCGGGACAACATGGGGTCTGGCGGCCGCGGTATGCAGGGTGTGTTCTGTCGTGTTTGTCGAGGGCGCGAGGCGGGATAACCGGGACACTCGGGACAACTTCGGGGTATGGCGGCCGCGGTATGCAGGGTGGGAGTGGCCGGGAGGTCTGTTCTTCAAATCTAACGACCCGAACCTGTCCGGTGGGGAACAAGCTCATCCCTCCCCACCATGATCGCTTCCCCCTTGAGCAAGAAGAACACTTTACATATGATTCGGCCTCGTCGCTCATGTCGCAGATGAATGACTTGCCAGGGAGTCCCTGTACTTAGCGCCGCTAGCTCGAATCGCATAGCTTACACGACATGCATTGCCCCCTGTAGCTTAAACGCAAGCCTCTCCAACTCCATATCGCAGCACATACGTTACACGACATATATTACGCCACATAGCGTTTAGCGCATACCTCCCAACCCCAGAGCGCACATAACATAAATTACACCACTGAGCCTACACATCATAGCTTAACACATCGGTTTCACATCCGTAGCTCACGCCACATGTATTACACTACGCAGCCTGCACAACATAATTGACAACACATCGCTTTCACGATATAGGCTACTCTGCATAGGCCCATACAACAAAGCTTGCACCTCATAGCTGACGCCACATGTTTTACCACATCGCCGTCTCATCTCCTCTTCCGCCCCCCTCATCCCCTCCTCGTCCTACGACTATCTCGCCTCGGACACACTGACACCCATGACGAAACCACCCCAATAACTTACCAGCCCATTGGACCTGCTCTGCATGGATGATCGGCGCAGGCATCAGCTGATGTCTCAACGCAAAGGATGGGATTCCCCTTCCCGTTCTTGCCAGCGCCCCCACGGTGCCGCCCAGGAGCGGGAGCGGGAATCCCGCGCAGCCTTGCGCAACGTCAGAACGCTTTCCGCTACCGTGAGGCAGATCCTCCGTCCTGGGGCCCTGTTGGGCCATGACCAAAAGACCCACACGCGGTCAACATCCCTTCGGGGATGGACTGACCCCCCTTTAGTCAAACGTGGTTTAGCGAAAACGACCTGAGGCCCAAACCTGGCGGGCGCGAGCCTGGAAAACAGTGGCCACGGCGCCCTCTCGAGAACCGAAAACGGACAATTCACTAATCGACGTGTCACTGTTGGGGGTTCTGTCCGCCCCCGATCCCTGTAGACCCGGTTCTGCTAATGGGCCGGGTCGTCCGGAGGTTTTCGCCACACTGCGGGCCGTGCCACCTCGTGGGCGCCCCGTGCGCTCGGGGGGCGGCGCGCGACGGCGACGACGGCGCACGACGACGACGAACGACGGCGACGAACGACGACGACGACGACGCGGACGACTCACGACGACGACGCCGACGGCGACGCGAACGACGACGACGACGGCGGCGGCCAACGACGATGCCACGCCGCCTCGGCGGCCAGCTCGCCGCCGCCTTTGCCGTCGCCCTTCGCCTCCGCCGCGCGCTCGCTGGC